AATAAAAAATAATAAAAAAGTGAATGTTGTTAGTGGTGACCATTTCCTATGTGGAGTGGGTTGGTGGTGAAGGTGACGTGGCGCAGATGTGGCACCACTTTTCTGATGAGTTGGTGGTGACCACTCCATATAGCCTTAGATATGGAGAGTAGGTGGGTGTATGTCAGATTCCTCAACAACCCTTTGCTTACACTCAGTATGTCTTTCAACCGCTGGTTTAGAACTAATTCCAACTTCAAGCTCATTAAAAACAAACTTTTCGACTAATTTGTTAGATGACACATTCTCTGAAAACCGAGGGGGGAAAAAGGTTGATCATTATAACTTAAGGGGTCAATGGTACAATCCTAAAGCAAATCTGGCGATACGCCCTTCGACATGGTGAAAGCAGACGCGGAGGTGTAGTGTCACTGCTACAGCCGATGTGAATGAATCACCGGAAAAATCAATACAAATGTTGCGATCTCTCCGAATCAAGCGATCCCTCCAATCCTCCGTTATCCACCGCAAAAACCCACATTTCAACAACACCCTCGAAACCCTATCTTCTTCACCTACCACTAAAACCCCTCTAATAAATCTCATACGTCAATTTTCTTCATCATCTCCACCGCCGCCAACACCGCCGCCGCTATCCGCCACGCCATCTACTTCCTCTGAACTCCGGAAGTACCTCGGATACTCCGCACTCCTCCTCAGCTGCGCCGTCGCCACTTACTACTCCTTCCCTTTCCCTGAAAACGCAAAACACAAAAAGGCCCAACTCTTCCGGTACGCCCCTCTTCCCGATGACCTCCACACGGTCGTTAATTGGAGCGGGACTCACGAGGTACAGACCCGGGTCTTCCTCCAACCCGAAAGTTTAGAAGAATTGGAGAAGATTGTGAAGGATGCCAACGAGAAGAAGCAGAAGATCCGTCCTGTTGGATCCGGGTTATCTCCAAATGGGATCGGTTTGGCCCGTGGTGGGATGGTGAATCTGGCTTTGATGGATAAAGTTTTGGAGGTTGATAAAGAGAAGAAAACGGTTCGGGTACAGGCAGGCATTCGAGTCCAGCAACTTGTCGATGCCATCAAGGATTATGGCATTACTTTGCAGAACTTTGCGTCTATTAGAGAACAACAAATTGGTGGCATTGTTCAGGTATGGATGCCATTTCCATTAGTTTTAATTTGTGTGAAACAATTTCATGATTGTTGAACTCATCTCCATTGCTTACTAGTCGCTTAAACTCTCCTACCTATAGGTAGGTGCTCATGGTACTGGTGCAAAGTTGCCTCCGATTGATGAGCAGGTTATCAGCATGAAATTGGTTACCCCTGGAAAGGGAACAATCGAAATTTCAAAAGACAAAAACCCTGAACTGTTCTATTTAGCTCGATGTGGGCTTGGTGCATTTGGGGTTGTTGCTGAAGTTACTCTCCAATGTGTTGAGAGACAGGAACTTGTAGAACACACATTTGTCTCAAACTTGAGTGAAATCAAGAAGAAACATAAGTATGTATACAGTTTTCACTCGACATAGTTTCATTTATTTGTGTATTATAACATCCTACTTTCATTACTTTCAATTACCATATTAATTGCTCTATGATCTTATATTCTCTCGTCTGATTGCATTTCTTCTTTTGGTTGCAGAAAGCTTCTAAATGACAACAAGCATGTAAAGTACCTTTACATACCATATACAGACACTGTTGTAGTGGTGACATGTAACCCTGTTTCCAAATGGAAAGGCCCACCCAAATTTAAGCCCAAGTATAGCCTCGATGAAGCTTTACAACCTGTTCGTGATCTATACAAAGAATCATTAGAAAAGTACAAGTAAGTTTATTCCATAAATACCCCTCTTTCACTCACGTATCTCATCAATTAACATCTTATTTTCAGACGCCAACCAAATGAAAACGACTCAAAGCTTTCAGACCTTACATTTACTGAACTAAGAGACAAGTTACTATCCATTGATCCTCTTAACAAAGACCATGTTAAGAAAATCAATGAAGCAGAATCCGAATTTTGGAAGAGATCAGAGGGATTCAGGGTAGGGTGGAGTGATGAAATTTTAGGGTTTGACTGTGGAGGTCAACAATGGGTCTCTGAGACATGTTTTCCAGCTGGAACTTTATCAAAACCAAACATGAAAGATCTTAAATTTATAGAAGAAGTTATGGAATTAATAGAAAAAGAAGAGATTCCTGCTCCTTCACCTATAGAACAACGATGGTCTGCTTCTAGCAAAAGTTTGATGAGTCCTGCTTCCAGTGAATCAAATGATGATATTTTCTCATGGGTAAGTCTCTTTTTAATAAATTAATTATGATTCATTACACTTTTTCTGCAATTAACTATTTTAATAAATTAAAGGGAATGTCATATTTTGTTTTCTATGTGACAGGTGGGTATAATTATGTATCTTCCTACATCAGATGCTCGACAAAGGAAACAAATAACAGAAGAATTTTTTCATTATAGGCATCTCACTCAAACACGTTTTTGGAATCAATATTCAGCTTTTGAACATTGGGCTAAAATTGAGGTATATTTTATAAACCAGATTCTACTTATATATTAAGTTGTTTTTTTGTATCAAGTCAAAAGAAACACCCATATATAGCTTATATGATTAACTTTTTGTTAAGTCTATTTTTTGAATAAAGGGATAATCACAAGACAAAATGATTTTTGGTTGTGAAATTACAAAAAAGGAAGTAAATTTGTTAAGTAGACAATTACCATTTTGGTCATTTTTTGTGATTATTCTTAAAAAGAAACAGTATGTAGTCGATTTACCTAGTTAATTGTTTTCTATAGTGATTAAGCTATTATACTTTTTTGACTGTTTTAAAAAGAAAAATAATAGTTCAGTTGCTAAAATGATGACATGGTTAAAGTATGTTGTATTTTTCTGTATTTTGCTCAATCTTCTTCTCTCT